AACCTTGCTGTACACACCAATACTTATATGCTAGATGATCAACCTTTCTGATTGATTCCACAATGTTTCTTTCACAATGCAATCACATGACCAGAAATCAACTTTATCTTTAAAGGAGAATTGTTCATTTGGTATGATGATAGATAATAATGAATAGTGAGAGCCAAAAGAGCGTTAATTAATGCTAAGATATGACAATTGTGCTGTATGAGTCAAATCCTTGCCCTCAGCAGAGGATGGTGGATTGACACGCACTGAAAAATGGAGATTCAAATCGAGATTTTCCAACAGTCACATCACTTCTGTAACTGTAATCTGTTGAACGCTAGAAAGGCATTACCGGTAAGTCATATATTTTAACACAGAGTTAACACCCTTCTGGCTCTTTAACAGTTGATATCACCATTTTGAGAGTTTTTATGTTCACACAAAAAGAAGAAGAAAAAGAAGAGATTTTGATAATTATTTACTTCCAGTTTTACTCTCGGTAGTTACTGAATGTATGAAAGACTCAGTTATGATATTTTGTGTTCCTTTTGGAATAACTTTAAGTTTATCACAAGCAACAAGTGTCAATTTAACCATATATGAAGGGAAAGGGTAATAAAAGAGCATTGTAAATTTTAAAAGAATTATAGTGTTGAGTGTTTTGTTGAGAGTTACTGTAAAAGGATGTTAGCCCATTTCTTGTACACAGAGTTAAAGCCCTTCTGGCTGGCTCTAAATAGATGATTGTGAAGAAAAACCAAAGAGTAGCAAAGAAAAGTTACAACCAAGGAGGAGTCAGAGAGGGAATTGGGGTCATTTTTTGGTGCTTATAATTATAGCTCTCTAAAGCCAATCGGTTGTCATTTTAGATTATGAAACTGAAAAGTTTTTGCAATGTTCTCAGAGATGTGAATGGCAGAAAAATAGTGCACTATAAGGCTATACTCTTTTACCTGTTTGTTTCCCTTTTGTCTTTAACTTGCAAACAATGGAATAATCTTTGACCAGACACCCTTAGGCAATACAACCCAACCGTTCAAATTTACCTTAGGGATTTAATCAATCAAAGCTGAGAGCTCTGTAAAGCTAACCAACTATCAATCATGGGATTCGTGATTTATATACTGGTAGGCTTGGGAGAAATTAGTGGGACTATACACAGAAACACCGTTGAGCAAGCTTGTACAAGTATGATTCTTGCTATCGCCAATATATTAAAATACCTGTATAGTACGTTCAGGCCCCATTCAAATGTACTCTGGGATAGTTTGGTTGATTGTGTATGTGTGTGTGCACTTTATTTTCTGAGAGTAATCAAAGCGATTTATCAATATTTTAAAGTGATTTCAAGAGTGGATCATTACGAAAAATGTTTGAAAATATTGTTAAATTTACTAAAAATAAAATGTTTGGATGTGCGATGGGCGAGACCAAGTAGAAGCATAGAAATATCAATGTCAGCTTTCTCTGGTTGTGATTGTTGGCAAGTGCAAAAACTTGTCTAAAATGCTCTTTGGATGACCACCGGACATACATGTATGTTTATAAGAAGCCATTATTTTTTATTAAGTTAGTTGTAAAACAGTAAAAGATTTTTGAAAATGCATGAGACGTATACAGGCAAACTGACTTTAGCAACCACCTGAATATAAAGACCACATTTAGTTTTTCCCTTGAATATGGTTTCTTATATATGCACTTTTCATGTTTCCATTGCATGGCCTTCATATAGGCTACAACCAGATTTCACTGTATCCGTATCATATGATTTAGATGCATTAGCCTACCTGTTCTCTATTACTTGGCATGCACTTAAAAGAAGTTCAATGAACTAAAGTCTCAACATGTGTAGGATGCATACTATTGTTTTCCTATTTTAGGGCCAAAAGGGCATTAACTTCTGTAAAGTTATATGACTCTAACGCCCTTCTGGATCTCATCAGATGGTATTACGTGACCCTCACCCAATGAGAGTTGGTTCCTGTCTCTGAAGCCCAAGGCCCATGTAAACCAAGCTATGAGTAATAACTCAACTCATGTCTTGTGTATTATGTTGTAATGATCAGGAGCTATGAACCCTGGTAAAGAATCCACCTGTTGGTACAGAATCCACCTGTTGAGAAAGAAAGGGGGAGAGAGGGAGGGAGGCAGCCCCTGTAAATATACCATATATGTATTTGTTTGTTTATTTACATATTTTGAAATCTATTTATTCATTAATTGTTTAATTTAAATTTTCATATTTTTATTAGATTTATTGATTTATTTATTGATTGTTTCATTTTCATTTTGACATTTGTTTGTTTGTTTGTTTGTTTGTTTGTTTGTTTTTTTTTTTGGGGGGGGAGTTTTTTCGTGATAAGCGATATACCCCCCGTAACTCCAAGAACATCCATGGCAAAGAAAGCCCATGTGAAAACAAATAATTCCAATGAATTATAATGCTTGAAATAGCTGAATGCAATATTAAATTTCCTTTTTTTAAAAAAATTACTGCTCCCCTCTCTGCAGAATACTTGTACATGTACCTCACCATGGATCAGTACCTCAAATCTAGGATTAGGGTAAGGATAGGAATATGGTTAGGGTTATGCCCCCGGGTCAGGGTCAGGGTCAGGGTGTGGGTTAGGCAGGGGAGAACAAAATTGGGGGGCTACTTTTGAAGCTTGCTTGCATGACAATAATACTCTTTAATTTATTTTGCATTGAACTTTATGCAAATTTTTTGGGGCTCTTTTATGACTTTCTGGGGCTCTTTTTGGCATTTCAGGGGCAAATTGCCCAGAGCCCCCATGTATTTTGATGAAATGTATTTAGACTGATCATGATAGAAATCAGACAATGAAATGTGACCTTCTACTATCCAGGGAGTTAAGGGGTGTGTCATTCACAAAGTTATGTAATACTTTATTGCAAGATCCTTGGGTCTGCTTGCCCTAATGTAGTAGGTTCATGCCTAATGCAATCGATTCTCAACAATTGGTGGGATGTTGTAGACCCTGATCAGTTATTTAAAGGTAATGCAAAGTTTTGGGAAATTCAGAAAATTGGATTGATATTAATTCTTGAAAATGTTGGTATATTTAGATGCCCCTGTGAAATTTATTATAAGCACTAGAAAATTTAGCCCCTGAAAAAAATTTCTTGAAAATTTTGGTATATTTGGATGCCCCTGTGAAATTTATTATAAGCACTAGAAAATTTAGCCCCTGAAAAATTGAATAATCATATATTTACTGGTGTTCCCGGTAAATTTCATATATTTCAAATAGCGCCCAAGGCCATTCCATGGTAGCTGCGACCATGAAAATCTAAGAATATGCAGTTCAGATATATAATTTCCAAACGGTAATAGCTAATTGGTCGATCGTAGTCAAGAAACATTGTCTTAGAGCTAAAGTTATATCAGTCTTGAGAGGCAGTATACAATATAAGAGTTTATTATTTACAATTTCATCACTTAAGACTCGATTGAATCATTGAATATTGTTAAATCGCATATGCTTCCAATCTGAACCAAATTCATGACCCCATACCAAAACTCTGATTAACTTTGAGATGCATAGTTGTCGGCTCTCATGGGGAATTCGACACCATTCAGGTTTTTAGAATACATAGAGCTTGCTGCAAGCTTGGTGTTAGCTCGTCACAAGCCTGGTGTTAGCTTGCCGCAAGCTTATTACAATTATTTTTTCTTACATGATAATATCTAGTAACTTTATGAGTTTATGCCAGCTTGCATGGCTCTAAAAATGTAAACAAGACTATTTCTCCGCCAATCAGAACTCATACTTATTAGTTATACTGATAAAAATACATAAATTAGAGAGTGAATGTTAACATTTTTTTAGTAATGGAATAATAGTAACAGTATGGACAATAACATCAACAGAGATCTACAAAAGACACATCATTCATATATATATACTTGTTTTAATATAACCTGGACCACGACACCTCCACTTCCACATGTACATCATTAAAAATGGGAACTGCGTCCCAAAGAGGTCAAAATGAATACTGGATCAACTTGATTGTGAGACTTCTGAAAACTATTCTCCTATATCTCTATAACGAAAAGTACATGAAAACATTGACCAAAAATTATTCACAGCTTTTGATATCTCAACATTTTTGTGTGTGTTTTTTTTTCTGTCTCAAAAATTAAAGAAAATGAAAGGTATTGGCAAGTCTGGTGCCACAAATTGAATACATAGAACTTGAAGTGGAGAAAATTTGTGAAACTGTTCCCCAAAGATAATGATTTTACCAAATTTTATAACCATTTAATAGCATTTTGGTAACAAAACATCTTCTGTTCTTTGTGGGTGCCATCTTGTTTGGAGAAAAAAATATTCATATCATGGAAATATACCATGTGCAAAAAATAAAAGATAACCTTTTCATAATTGATGTAAAAACATGGGATAAAATTGTAAGTGAATACAAAACATATTACAGTTTACAACAATTAAGATTAAAATCTGATGACAAAAATGCTTTTCAGATACATATAGTCTTAAATTACTTATTCATTGTTTGATTTCAAAACAAAACCTTTCACCATTCTGTTCCTTTGATTTTCCTGCTTTCGTAAAGTACTTTCACCAGAACTGGCCTTTAAAAATAAGACCTTACCAGCCTTAAAGAAAAGGTCGAGTTCTGGGAAGAGGTGAAAAATAATTTGTGAGCGTTATCATTCTTATTATGCAAGTGTGGAAGAACATCAGATAAGACATGTTCCCTGAAAAGCATGGCTCTTCAAATGTCTTCATATTCCAGATATGTCAATACCATCATAAAACTCGGGGGGGGGGGGGGGGGGGTGGTGGGATTTTTAAGCCACGTGTTCGTGTAGTCCCATATACATCTTTCTGTGTACAGTGTTTGTAACTTTACCAAGACTTGGCCAAATTTCTTATCATTTTGATGATTCCAGAACCTTGTAATACACACAAATTCTTATATGCTGGATGATCAACCTTTTCTGGTCGATTCCACACTGTTTCTTTCACAATGCAATCGCATGACCAGAACTCAACTTCATCTTCAGGTATCAACATTTTGTTTGGTTTTTAGGGATCTGCGGGCCGTGCCACATTTCTGATTTATTTTTCGGTTGAAATCCTTGGGAGAGAAACATTTTTGGTCGTCCTGGGTTTTAAACCTTTGCAAGACACATTCTGGGGGAGTAAAAAAATAAAAAAATATAGTTAACAAAAATAAATATTTAAATCAAAGTTCAAATGTATATTTTTTTAAGTTTAGGTAAAAGTAATTAAATATTTGAAAAACATGCAATATCTCTAGTACCCATGTTTCCAAATTTTTCAAATTATTACCATTCATTACAGAAAGCAGATTAGTAAAATTGTATCTTCGTTGCTTATTTAGACGATTTTCTTCTAATAAAAAGGTGATATTTACTGTGATTCAACCATAGGATTTATAGTATGAAAGTGGTTGAATATTATTTCCTGGTTTTAACTATAAATAGTACCCCCTCCTTTCAGTATTTCATTTGAAAAGAAATAAAACCTAAAAAAAGAAAGAAAAGAAAATGAAGTGATACCCTAACAATAAGTAAGACTAGTGAAATTGCAAAGTTATGAGGCAAGGAAATAAACGTGTTTGCATTATATGTAAACAAAAACGTAACACTACATGTATGTATTAAAATAACATTATAACCTGTCAATTATATATTTAGGTGGTCTGTCATTGACAAATCATTTTTTATTATTATTATTATTATTATTATTTTTTTTTTTTTTTTTTTGGGGGGGGGGGCGGGATGGGTGGAGGCATATACCTGTTACAGTGAAAACCAAAACAGCAATTGTTTAAAACATTACCTTTTATTTGGTTTAGCTTTTGCGGGTCGAGCTTCTCATGACCTCCCTCCTCTGCCTTGTTCACAGCAACTCTTGACCCGCAAGCGTTCCCAAGTGCCAGAGTCTTTAACCCAAAGACAGCATCTAGAAGGGCGTTTAGGAGGGCCTCCTTTGTTGTGCCCTTCTTAAACACGTTTCTTTTTTCAATTTCCGTCAGGATCGGTTCTCCTCCGGGGAATAATGGCACCAGTTCCTGAGAAAAATATAGCATTTAATCAAATTTATTAGCAATGTATTTTTGTTGTCCAAGTTCTTTGCTTTTAATTTTTCTTCAGCTCTAATAGAAACAAAATTTGGATATAACAGAGTAATTTCTTCAGTTCTGGTGAGTTTGTTTTAACAAAGTTCTACTGCAACAGAATATTTGGTAAAACTTAATGATTTTTTACAGAAAGATAAGCAGTCGACAAAATACATTTATGATGTAGATCACTTTATTAATGTTTGTTTTTGCGAATCGCTACCAAAAAATGTATTTGAAAAGAAGTCAACTTACAGTAGATGACGATGAGGCCGTACTCTGTGTACCCAAAGGCTGGGGGTCCTCGTTTTCAAGGTGCGTCGGTGAGCAAGTCTGGCAGAAGAAATGTATGCAATTTATTTGACAAAATTTGCCACATCTTACAAAAGGAAAAGAAAGTTTGATCCTACTTGATCTGATTACACTGCAACCATTTTTTAAGATTCAGATGTAACTACAATTTTACTATACAAAAATATACAGTACAAAATATCACAGACTCACAAGCTGTATTCTTCAAATTATCATCCCTTTCCGTTACGTTCCGTTGATATATTTGGATTCCCCTGTGGATGTATTATAAGCACACAAATTTTTAGCCCCTAAAACACTTCTGCTTTCGAGAAAAATGGAATATACAAATTTACCGGTGCTCCCGGTAAATTTTTAATAAATTTCAAATAGCGCCTACGGCCGTACAATGGTAGCTGCGACCATGCACATCTCAGAATATGTAGTTGTGATATATAATTTCCAAACGGGAATAGCTAATCGGTCGATTTCAGTCAAGAAATATTGCTTTATAGCTTAATTAATATACTGACCTTGAGAGGGAGCTATACAACATAAAGAGTTTATTATTGACAATTTCATAACTTTAGACTCGATTTCAACCGCGACAACGATCATTGAATATTGTAGGATCGCATATGCTTCCAATATGTTCATTTGAACCAAATTCATGACCCCGTACCAAAACTTTGTATTACCTTTAATCACTACTTTAATTAATTATATTAATTGTTTAAACTCACTGTGCTGCTCACAGATTGGCCACAGACCAAATCACTGATTGCTCTTATCAGTCTCCTTTTCTTTGGGGTGATATCTGTATTCGAAACAAAAAGAGGGAATACCTTAAAAACCCTCTCGGAAGTGAAAAAAATAATTTGATGAATTATATAACAACGGACAGATTATAAGCCATAGATTACAATGATATCAATTACCGGTATATGCTATTCTAGTGTCTGATATAGGAGTAATTACAGCTCTCTGAAAACTCCAACATACAAAGTTTTGAAAAATCAGAAACTGTCAACCTAAAAACTAGATATCAACTTGATGACATCAATTAAGCATGGCTCATTGCCTCAGCTATATAGGCGAGCCAATCCGGTCCACGTTATGTAATCATATAACTTCAGCAAATTTGACCCCTGTTGACCCGTAATTTAATTTTGCTTTTGTGCAATAATGAAAGGGAAAAGTTATTCCTTTATATTTGTATATTATGTTCATTCAGCTTTCCATTGATATCAATTGGTATTTTCATTGAATAGGGTTTTTAAATAGTGAAAGCTGTCGGCATTCATAAAAAAAAAAAAAAACATGATACCGGTAAATAAAAATTAACCTGGCAGTCACATTGTTTCGTGAACTTGATAGATATTGGTGTGTGTCATGGTATGAAGTTGAACCACTTCTCTGCAAAGCTTAGACTGTGAATTTGCAATATCAACATGCTTTAAGATATACATGTATGGCTTTGCCATGGTATGGTTAGAGAATACTGCTGTTTAAAAAAAAAATATATCAAAAATATAAACCAAAGCCAAATAATATGGAATATTAATACCAAAGAGTGTCACTAAATGTTTAATTGAATGTGAATATCTCAGGACCACCTAAACAAAATATCAATGGAGAGTCGAATTTAAAGCCCCTCTGCACAAGTTTGGTCAGGATGGATTAGACCTCCCTGCACGGTCACTGACAGGTGGGCATCTCATCAAATCAGCTCTCAATTAACATAAGAAAAAAGGGATCATGGGGGACCAATGGTCACCGCTTAGGCATTGTTTTCTATAGAGGGCGCAAGTAGCTATAAGTAGCGTAGTGGGGCTTTAATAAGCCCTCCAAAACACAAATCAACGCACACACATACAAAATATCATTCAGTTCATACCTTCAGTGAAGAGGGTTCCCTGCTTGGCCTGTTTTATAGCTGCAATTATCTTGTCCTTTTCGGCAACCTCCTCCTCCAAAGCTGCAACCCTCCTTTTCAGGCTATTGATTTCTTCTCTGTGTGTAGACTAAAAATAAATTGATAAAACATATAATTTTGGGCACATTGTTGTATTTATACCCACATAACTAATCAGTGATATGTGCCATGTGTGAAGATATGTTGAGCTTTTGTGTGTGTAAACTGATATGTCTTCTAGCTACCAGTGTTTATGATTATAATTTGAGATGAAAAACTGGTTTTGTTTCTATGCAAAAGTGAAATTGAAAGATATTTCTAAACAGACGCTGACCTATCAATATGCATTTCATTTTTAGATTGATCAGCATCACATTTCAAACTTAACATTTAAAGGGATTATCTTTTTCTGTGTTGGTGCTCATGAATAATGAAAATTCACAAAATACAATTAAAAAATGTATCATCTGGAAATGATAAGGGTATTTACTGCATGAGCTCAGAAAATATTTAATTTTAATTCGAGATAAGAGTTGTACTCACAGATGCTGATTCAGCAAACGTTTGCCTCCAGAGTTCATTTTGTGCCTCTGCACTTGCCTCCGCAGGAGCTGTCAGGGCGAGAATTGGCAGGGCAAGAGCGGGCAAGGCAAGAGCGGGCAGGGCAAGAGTGGGCAGGGCAAGAGTGGGAAGGGCTGGTGGGGCAAGAGTACGTTCTTCCAGATGACGTAATTCTCTTGTTAACAGGTCAACATCCTGTTCCTCTTCCAGCTCTATTTTGATTTCTATCAAAGAAAAACAGAAAATATTTTATTAAAATTGACATATCTTTTCTCAGTTATTCAATTAGATATCTGGCAAGGAAATGCTTGTAAAAAAAAAGTTATAACAAAAATGGAAAACATTCACAACTTTGGGAAGTAGAAAAATTGAGAGCTTGTTTACAAGCTTACATGCAGACCTTATCTTCACCCTCTGTGCAATATTATCCAATCCAATCCAAAAGATATATGATACAGCGCCTTTTCCTTGCAGTTACAAAGCGCGCTGCACACACACTCCACAATGTTTGGGCCACTTAAAAACAAAAGTTAGACACTTGTCAGAGATCAGTCAAGTATATAGGCTGGTAATAAAGTAATTTATACTTTACCCAACTTGCATTCCACTTTGGCACTTTCACAGGACATTTCACTTTTGTGTTCTTCCATTCTGTGCTATAAGAACTGGACTACAAATTCAGGTGTGACTCTACTGCTTGGTGTGTAGGTGCAAAAGTGCTTTTTTCTTACCTCTACTCCTCATGTTTATATAGCATCTCAATCTTGGTTACATAATATCCTAATGTACAGGGTTTCACTGGGTGGTACTGAAGGACACAGCTGAATCAGGGATTAACTGACATCTCCCTGGCTGGATGTAGCTGGTGTTTGTATACACATGGGGATTAAGGCTCTAGACACTGATAAGACACTGATAAGACACCATGCACCCCCTCCCACAGGGCCATCACAGTACCTACTTTCCCTGAAAATCACATTACTTTCACCACCATGCAAATAAATTGACCATGCTGTCCGGGCCCCCCATCAACAATACACACATTGTCATGTTGAGGAAACCAGAAGGAAATCTTCAGGATGATCTGACTTTATAATATAAGTCTGGCAACAATAGTCATGCTAGTTTAGAAATAATTAATAGATCAACTTACCAGCCATTTTGATTATCTTCTCCCACAGTGAGACTTGATTTGTGACATCACTGCTCCCATCATCTGCCATTCCAGCAAAACAAGTGGTTTGAAGATTATCCAACTAACAATTAAGAGCTTGAGATTGTGCCCCTTTAAGCTCTGCAAGCTTGTATATACACAAGCTCTGCAAGCTTGTACAGGCAAGAGTATAATGCTGTAAGCTAGAATGCAAGCTTGCATACAAGCTGAGTATGTACACTTATAGTATACATGCAAAGAGTATGCTCTGCAAGCTCGAATGCAAGCTTGCCTATACAGGCTAGATATATGCTCTGCAAACTCGTGTGTACACTTATAGTATGCTCTGCAAGCTCGAATGCAAGCTGCATACAGGCTAGAATGTGTACACGCATACAGACAAAAGTGTGTACACTTATACAGGCAAGAGCATATGCCTTGCAAGCTTTAGATTGTGCACCTGCACGCTTGCAGTGCATATCCTCTTCGCCTCCTGCAGTGCAAGCTTTGAAAGAGCTTTAGTTTGACCTCGTGCAAGCTTGCTGGGCATACACTGTCGGCCTGCAAGATTAGATTGCAAGGGATGTAGATTGCACTCCTGCAAGCTTAGAGGGCATATCTTCTTGGCATGCAAGTTTGCATAAATATAAGTAGGAACTTCTGTTCATAGCTTGGCAATAAGGATGATGCCTATCTTCTCCATCATCATCCTAAGATTAAAAATGATAAAGAGAGGATAATCATGCAGATTTACATCATAACATTTTGTTTAATCTCCCCTTTAAGGGATGATGAATATTATTATTTTATACCTTTTTCTTATGATTGGTATTAAAAAGTGCACTCTCATATCTGGTTTGAAATCTAGTACCGTACTAGATACGTTAGTGGATTTAGGAAGAGATTAGAAATCTGGCATAGAAAGTTACCTGTGTAATCTACTAAGATGTTGATGTTCGAAAGATATGACGTACAAAAATTCACAGGAATTTTGTTTTTCATTGGAACTTCACAGGTATATGACAGGTTTATGCAAAGATTGTAGGTGGTTCACGTTTGAAATTGTGTGTGAATGATGTATAGTTTGGTTCGACAGGTTCGACAGGGGACAGAGCCAACTCGCCTCCTCTAACCAATAACCAATAGATACCAATAACCTCCAAGTGTAAGACAGTGTCTTAAAGTATACAGAAACTTGTGTGAAACTAACGAATGAAAAGATGTCATGATGATGTCATATAGGTAACATGATACCTAGGAGGTAACCAGCTATGTCACTGTGACTTCCCTACCTTTTGCCACAAGCCAACATTTTTTCATAGATCATGTTCAGGTGAATCATTCTGAAATCAGCATGGGTTTTGTTCTCAAGGCTTTATAAGAGCACTTGGGCCATCAATATATTTGACAAATACTCTTTTCACACTGGTTTTGCTTAACCCTGTACTTTGCTTAGCCCCGTACTATCCTTTACCCTGGACTAGCTTTTTGGGCTCTTTACACATGCTGTTTTTAGTCCCGTACTAGCGCATATTTCTTGTTGATGGGAGGGGAGGGGAGGGGAGGGGAGACAGACAAAGAGAGGGGAGGGAGGGTTTGGATATGGACCTACTACGTGATGACACACTCTGCGGGAGTCCCAACATCAGCTGTCAAATAAAGATATTGATTGATGTAAATGAGACAGTTGTCAATCATAATGAAACATTCATCTCTGATAAATCTCTTTTGATTAGTCATAATCATATCAAAGAGTTTCAAATGGATCATGTTTTGTCATAGAAATAAATTGTTGGACAGCCCATAGCTACTTCTGTCAATTGGCGGTCAAGTATACTCAAGGTCAAGTCATTATGGGCGAGAACTAGTGACCTTTTAAGTTTCATTACCGGAAAAGAATCCTTATAGGCAATTGAAAGTACAATATCCTATTTGTAAAGTAGGAAATCAATATGTTTCAGATTGTAATTCTTGTTGTAATTCATGTAGGCAATTGAAACCATTGGGGGAGATTCCCTCACAAGGAGATTAGTTTAGTTTTTATAAGATATATTCTGAAGAGATACTTTAACTCATTACTTACTGGAACTGGTCTGCTCCTGAAAATATATGGGAATAAAGGAATTATTCAGTTGTCAATGGAGTACTTTACCATTCAGAAAAAGGTTGTACATATAACTTCAAACTTCTCAACTCTGTTTAATTTCTAAATTATGATAAATATATATACTAATTTTCCTAAACTTGAACTATTACATTATTTAGTAACCCCTTACATGCCTTGTAAGGGAAAGTCTTGTCCTAGAATGATAAATGTTCTACTAAAAGTTTACTCTCAATCAACTTGTGTGTTTCCTCCTGAAACCCAAATAAGTATATACTATGTAAAGAGTTTCCCTGGGAAATATCTGAAGCCAAAGTTACAATGAGACAAAGAAATATACCCTTGTTATATGGAATTTTGACAATAATATTTTCTTCATAAATTGAGTTGCATAGAAAAAAAGATTAAAGATAATGTTGGGGGAAATTGAGGGGGGGGGGGCATTATTATTAGCTTTATATTCATATTTGTCTTTACATTTACCGACCAATGGTACAGCATTTTATGTGAGCTGTAATTTCCCAACATTTTTTTGCGAGGTTCTTGTCTGAAAACAAATGTCTTGAGAATGACTCCTTGCAGTGGTTCTCAAAACATTACACATCTGCTTGTAAACACATGAAGAGATTCATGTATTATTGGCAAGTCACATGACCTGTGTCTAGCTGTCAGGTGACCTGTGACGATCTCGAGTGCGGGAGGGGAAGTTGAGAGAGTTATTACCGGGGCAGGAGAAAGAAATATGGTTTTATAAAAATATGACTCCCTCATGAATGGCATATTTTTGGAGTGGTTTGATAATTCTCTTAATGTGGATGAGAATATATTTAATCAAATTTTTAAAGATCTATTAAGTCAAAAGAAAATGTCTAAGTATACATATAATATTTTGCTGAAGAAATATAGTTGTACTAATGCCAAAAGGGAGAGTAAATGGGAGGAACTATTTGGCCATCAACCCAAAGAGAAGGATTGGTCGATTATTCATACGAGTAACTTTTGTTGCACGATTGAGACTCAGTTAAGGAGTTTTTATTTCAAAATTTTCCATAATGCTATTGGTTTTAATGCATTTTTGTTCAAGATTGGGAGAAAGGAGTCTGCTAATTGTTATTTTTGTTCAGATTTTCCAGAAACTTTAGATCACTTGTTTTGTGACTGTAGGAGAGTTGTACCACTGTGGGAAAAATTGGTGGATAAGATTAACACTGGCACTGATCACAGTTATAATCTGACTTTGTCAAAATTTAATTTTTTGTTTGGGATACAGTCAAGGGACAAATACGCCTCTTGTATAAATTTTCTCTGTTTATGTTTAAAATATTATATTTACTCATGTAGGTTTCAGGGAAAAGAACTTATTTTCGAAGCATTTGTTTCAATGGTAAAGTTCAAACAAAAAATAGAATATAAAATTGCCCAAAAGAAAAATAAGTTACAACTCCATTTTAAGAAATGGTCTATCAAGTTTAACTGAAATTTAGGAGTAGTCTTGCAAAGCTCTGTTGTCATTAACATCTTCATTGACTTTTTGAAATGTAAACTTGCCCTCTGGGAAAGTATGTGAGTGTGTGTGTGTGTGTGTGTGTGTGTGTGTGTGTGTGTATGGTTATGGGTGCATGAGTGCGTGCCTGTTTTGTAGTTTTAAGATGATATTATATTTTATATTGCTGCTTTTACTCTGTTAATTTTTCAAAAATAACAATAAAAACAGAAAAAAAAAAAGAAAGAAAAGAAATATGGTTTTATTGTTGGCTGGAACACAAATTTCGCAACTGTCAGTTGCGTGGGGATTTTTTTTGTGTGTGTGTGTTGTTGCAAATGCTCAGGCTGTCAAGTATGAACATTCTTGTCCATTTCGTTGTTTGGTCTACACATTTCCCAGTAAATGGGAAAGATATTATTATATAAAGGAATGATGATCATTTGCTTGTACTATACTGATTGATAATGTGATTTTGTTTGTTTGTTCTTCTTTGCATGTGAACTTCAACCCTATCTGCATATCTTCGTCCATCAACTCCATCTCAACTGTGTATCAACTCCTGTGTGACATATAGGTAAGTGATTATATCTCCACATGTTTTCTAATAAAATGATGAAATTATTTCAAGCATTTTACAGAGGTTAGAAAATTAAATTTTATTGTCAAGAGCTCTTTATTCAGCAGTCAAACTTTATTCAACTATTCAAGGAATTGCAACCACTGGCTTTTGTTTCCCCCATTAATGTCCCCTTCATACTTCATTTGTCAGCAAATTACATTATCCAAACTCACCTCGGAGCACTGATGCTGGGGAAATAATCATCAGGATAAACTTGCTATAGATGTAACTTTTTTTCTTCTTGAAGATTATTCCAATCTCCATCTCTCCAACTGCCCATGCAGGAGAGGTGTAGATTTCTTCTCTTCATTGGAGAATTATACAATGCTTTCTCAGGGAAAATAAAGTGTCAGGAGATTTCCATAACGTGGTAACTCTATTTGCGCTCGATTATTCAAATCTTGATCTCTACCGCGGAGTGCCCGCCCGAGAGAGATGTAGATTTCTTCTCTCAGGGAATTTGAAGATGCCGATGCTGAGAAAATAAAACATTGATCGGGAGATTTTCTATAAACAGTAACTTTATTTCTCGAATATTATTCAAATCTTGGTCCCTCCAGCTGAGTGTCACCCCGGGAGAGATGTAGATTTCTTCTCTTCATTGGGTAATTTCACGAGCTTCTGCTTTTGGGGTACGAAATGGTCAGTCGATGTTCGATGCAAGCTTTCTGGCTGTTTAGGTCAGTCAAGCGTGTGTTACATCTGTATATGCATGCGTGCAGTTCCAAACCACATGTGCATACTGAGAAGGCATACATTTATTGATCGCTCCTCCTTGCGAGGGGTTAGAGCAGGGACGGAGGATGCAAGATGCGGATGTCATCGCTACGGCGACAGGGATGGGGGTTTCTCCCTAGTGATGCCCCCAGGCATCGTAAAGTTGTGTTTACACTGCTTTGAAATACATTTTTTTTTTTAGCTTGGTATCATATATAAAGCTATTTAAATTTTGAAAGTTGTGTTGTCGTGGGGATTAAAGATACGTGCATAAGTTTAACACACTGTTTTTACTTCTTGGCTAGGGTTTTATTTTGGTGTCATATGCATTTTCAATATCTTGGGCTTTGTTTTCAATGGGTAATCATTGGTTTACATTAACAACTGTACTGT